GTGGGGTTTCTCACAGATTGGTGTTGTCTGTATCCATAACTGTTGGAGAACCACATTGTTGTGTTATTTGCCAAGATGCTAAAAGCTGGCAACCATGAAACTATAGCTGAGTATTTTTGTTCATACTCAAACAGAGCCAATTGCAAACACATCTTTGGTTTGCAAGATAAAGTAACAGCGAATCCTTGCCAGTTGGAAGAGACACGGTTGTAAATCTCTGAGCTGAGTCGTCTGCTGTGTTATGGACTTTATTTTTTAAATTATTTTTGGACATTGGAACTGACAAAAAAATAGTTTCCGATTGCATCAATACATTCCACACATCAAACACCAAACTACTAATTCCTACCGAGACTGAACTTCAACAGGTGCAAGAGAAACCTATATTTTAATCACATTTAGAGGATGGGCAAGATTATATATCATATATTTGCCTTCCAGTCTAATAGTTTTACGTTCCCTACAGAAAGGCAGCAGTAGCAGCGGAAGATGAGTTTTATTATTATGCCTGTCCTAGAACAATCCAAATGAGACCTGAATCATACCAGATGCTAGGTGGCGCTTCTGTGGGTCCCAGACCGCACAGGACCGAGAATGATGACACTAGTTTCTCTTTGTGTCTGTGCAAGTGACAGAGACGGACTTAGAGAGGAATAGAGAGATATTTAACATGACTTTTACTCTGAAATTTTATGTCATGTATACTCCACGGCAGTCACAAAATGAACCCCAGTGAGTCTTTTACCGCATGATCTGGCAAACCTAATGATATGAAAGGTTTTAAAGTTTGCTCAGCTCAGCCAAGTCAATAACCTTGAGAACTCCACATGATTATGTCATGAATGACAAAACAGCCACTTGCACCATGCAACAGAAAGCGTACCCGCAGGGAATGAACCCTTTGTTCAGAAATCTCTGCTTGGCCGTCACAGCTTTTGTGGCCATGTGTAATGATCAGTACAGCACTTATGAATGGGGGACCTGTTGGTGAAAGTTCTGCCCATATTAAAGTGCTTTACATAAAAATGTACATCCAATATCAATTCAAATTGTGTCCTTGATTGGCAACAGGGCCCAAAATAGCCAGCCAAGGGATATGACAACATTTCAATAGTGCACATTATCATCGCCCAACCAGTTATTTCTTAGATACAACTAAATGTGCTCCTTTAGTCAAGTCATTGAGATGACAAAAGAACATTTGGCTTAAAGAGACACTGATCATTTGTTTTTATATTGCAACAGGATGAGCTTTCCTCCAGCTCAGTTGCACAACACTGGCCTGCAATCTGCCACGGTTCTGCTACATCTCGCAGAGCAGAAAGTCTCTTTTGAGTGCAGCGGAAAACATTTTTGGGCATATAAATGTGTGTGCTGGTCGTATTTGTTCATCAGTCATAGGGCGGAAGGCATCGCAGCAGATGCTCCCAGTGACACACCCAGCAGATGCTGCCAGTGACACACCCTGCCCACCGACACTACTAAATGCCTGACAGCGATCTAGAGGTCATTTCCTGACATAGGCCGGTCACTGTCATAAGCCAACAACACCATAGTCCCTCATCGATCTAAATCTGGGCGACAGGCAGCATGCAGGATCACCCTTGCTTTGTTTTTATTTGTCAAACGATAGGATTGGCTGCGCTGCTAAATCTTTGGCAGTGAGGGGTCCAAACGGACCAGGCCCATCGAAGCACAGCCTCGGCTCTGACAATGTAATGATGGATAGGGGATGGTCTTTACTGTACCCTGGAGTAGCACCTCAGGAGGGAGAAACAGGCAATCATCCAAGCTTTGTACAATGAGGATAGGACACTGTTGACGGCAACTGAGGGGGTTATCGGGCGGTGGAAGAAGCAGTTTGAGGAAATCCTATATCTAACTACTACGCTCTCTTTGTTGGAGGTAGGATCATTGTTATTGTCATCATTGATCAATTTTCCTGGTGGAAGACACTGGGGCAGTCAAACAACTCCGCAGTGGCAAAGCAAAGCTGGAAAGGAGCATTCGTCTCATAGTCAAACCACGGATTGAAGAGGAATAACGTGGATTTCATACAAGTCGTGAGACAACGGACCAGCTCTTTACGCTTACAAGGAACATAAAGGGGGTCTGGGAGTATGCTCATTTGGTCTGCATGTGTTTTATTGACTTTGAGAAGGATATGACTGGGTTTCCCAAGAAATACTGTTGGATGTGTTGGAGGTTGGAGGTGGAGGGATGTAGCAGCCCTCTACTCCCTGGCCTGTTGTGATGCCACAGCATGTACAGTACCAGTCAAAGGTTTGAACACATTTTCTCATTCAATGAAAAAGTTTTTGACAGGTACTGTATATGTCTTGATATATATATATATATATATATATATATATATATATATATATATATATATATATATATATATATATATATAGAGAGAGAGAGATATTTATATGTGTTCATGTTTATGTCCAGTTTTAGATAATTCATGTCCATAAATACCTTTGCTGTGTGGTCTGATGGGCACGAATATAAAGCATCCCGCAGAGCTCCACATTTACTTTTTTCAAAAGTGTGTATTTTGGGTCATTGTTATACTTCTACCGCCTCGTCTAATAGCCCCCTATGGTTTCCACGGCAACGTGCAGGTAAATGGAAAGGAGTGCTCAGATCGCCACGCAGCATGATGCCTATCTCTAAAACTGTTGACCTATAAAAGCATACACCCACCAACACGAGGAGGCTGCCAGAGCCGTATGTGTTTTTGACGCATACAAGAGCATAAAATCAATAAACTAAGTTTTTATATATATAAAAATAGATACACACCAGACCCGTGTTGTCTTTGTCCGTGAATTTGTGTGTGTGTGTGTGTGTGTGTGTGTGTGTGTGTGTGTGTGTGTGTGTGTGTGTGTGTATGTCACAGTTTGCTGCTCAAGTGCACAGTCTTCTAAATGACATACTGAGTTTGGGAAGTAAACACAAATCAGTCTTCTTCTGTCTATCGCACAAACTCCCTTTTCCCAACTTGATTGCTCCGTTTTCTCCCCCCTCCTCCTGTCTCCTCCTCCATCTCCTCCATGCATATTATTTTTGCCTTTTCTGCTGAATTACGGTCTAGTTCTTTATCTGCATCCTCCCTCTCTTCTTTTGTCTGCTGTTGTCACTCACCCTTTGCACACCACAAACTGCTCTGCTTGTGGTGGGGACGGGAGAGGAAGGGGGGGGGGGGGGGGGGGGGCTGAATCAGGTATTTTTATGACAAAGACACAAGGCCTGTATCGAGGGATCATTAGGAACAGTTGTCAGTATTGTTTGGTCTTTTTTTTTCACCTAAAACATTGTCTTTTGAAGGAATTGAGGCCACCAGGTATTTAAATCATGGTTATTTTTGTGTGGAGGATATCATTTTGAGACAACATTAAAAAAGAAGGAAAAAAAGGAATGTGTTTGTTATGCTTCAGTTTGATATTTTTTAATTTCAGCACAGTAAAACACTTAAAAAGACCACCAGTGTGTTAAATGTGTAAGTGTCACTTTTATATTGTTACTGATATCATTTTAAATCTGCACCACTCAGTATTTCTACATGAATGATCAAATGAACGCTTGCGATATTGAAAGCGTCCCTGCTGGAGACTAACCCTTTCACCTTGTTTGGAGCTGCTAGCAGCAGCTGTTTTTTGTAGAAAAGCTGTGATGACCACGGTGCACGCTATCCGCACAGAACTAAATTGCACTGAGTTAGCTGAAAAGCAACAGCTGAGCAAAGGCTAGTAAGCTACATTTTTAAAATGGCAATGGTCTAGCAATAACATCTGCAAAGTATTTCATGCAAACCATCCTCTAGAACAGCAGACTGGGGGCAAAGACAGAGAATGTGAAAGTGCTTAGTTTAGAAGAGAATACAGGCCTCCTTGTCATTGCACTTAAGCTCCATTGTCCACAATTAATCATTGAGTTATTATAGCAGCCTTCAAACAAAGTTCTTATTGTAACCTGTTGCTTTTCTCATTTCCCTCCTCAAGATGAAGTTCATTAATGGATACAGTGCAGATATGATTAATCGACTGGAGCTTTTGGCAGGTTTGTGATAAGTTTGAGTAATTGTCCCAAGTTCATTCAGTGATGAAAAAAGGTAGTGGGGTTATCTATGTTGCCAACATCTGTTTGTTTGGCTGAGTTTAAAATGAAAGAAGTCAAACTTCAGCTTACAGCTTGTTGTTATGTTGTGATGGTGGATTCTGCAGCCAAAGCAGTTGAGAACCACTGCTCTATAATTATTAATAATTAATTTGCACATAATCCCATGTAAATGATCTGCCAAATGCACTTTGAGAACCTTATTGATATAAAGTCCCTCCTTTGGACAGAAGGGAGATCAGGATGGACTTAGATCAGCTTCTATTTGCTGCGGCAAAAAAGCTACTATCTGAACAGAAACAACAATCAATCACATTGTGGTTCTTTTTATTTTTGCGGACACACATGCAGGAGTGCAAAAGCTACAGCTTCATGCATTACTGTAGAGGAACAACCTCCCTGCAGCCTGTCTGGTGAGCTCCACAATGCGCTCTTTGCTTTAAACAGGTTCAGAGAACAGAGACTTCTCTGACCTCTCATCTCTCTGCATCCCAGCATTCGTCTCACTCCTCACAATACAATGTGTTGTCCAACACTCCAGAGATTCATCAAAAAATCAGGGTTTGTGCGCCTAATCAATCCAGTCCCCCCTTTTATAAGGTAAAATAAAAAAGTGCCTTCTTGCATCCACACGTAACCAAGCAGATAATGTGAGCAGATTTAGTGACAGTTGTCACACTGTTGCGTTGTTTTCTAACGCAGCCATCAATGAATAGAATGATAGAATGAAAAGGGGGGCTGATATCATTCTCATTTTGCACGTCACACAAATTGATGTTCATAATTTTTTCTTTATTACAATTCAGCAAACTGCAAATGAAAAAAGAGCAGGAATTTTTTAATTAATACAAGAGACAGGGTGCTGTTGGGGGACTTACGAGAGGGTCTTCTCCAACCGCCCTCCCGTGGAGCCGATGATTTCTCCGAGTGTACAAAAGGTCTGGCCCAGAAAGTCCTTGGGTGTGGGTAGGATGAAAGATATTACAGAGATAATTAATTGTATGACAGAAAATACAACTTAAATAACTTAACGGACAGTTTAGGGTTGCTGAAATCATTCCTTTTGTACAAAATTGTCCTCGAAAGAAAACGTTTCTGATTTTTCCCTGGCTTCGTATCTATACAGTGCAAATCAATGATGTTCAATCTACGTACGTGTTGCAGTCGCCCCGGAGCGCCCTACTCATTTGAGGGTAAGGAATTCTTAAATGAGCCATGGGAAATACAATGTGAATCTTTGAAAATATTGTGCACAATTTTCAGGTTTGTGTCTATCACTCCCAATAATAAACTGCATCGAAGTGGATATATTCATTGGGACATCACCCATCGGTGTGTGAGCTACAGTTTTGAAGGTTCGTCTTTGGCGATTTAACCTTTGCCATCTTGGCTTTTTTGCAACTGATGAACTGACACTAGAAATGCAGGATACGGCTCTGGTAGTGGCATCGACCTGTCAATCAAAGTATGCATGCCCAGAAGCATACCCTGCATTGTGGTCTATTTGACTCTAAATGAACATCATGCTGTACTTAAGACTTGAAACTAGAGATTGAGACCATCAACTCATTTTTAGAAAGGGTTGCTGGGGGAATAAACCAGTGTGTTTACCAGTGTGTTGAGCTTCTTACACGTTCCAATTTATATCAGGAGCTCTTAAGATTTCCTTCGACATATTAATTTATGAGTTGTTAGCTTGGGAGATCCAGCTCATTAAAATACATGCGCATTTAAGCTAATCACTCTACACATTGCTGGGCCTGGTGTAATCTGGATAAACTGAAGATGAAATCATTGAGGATGTCACTGTAAATATCAAAGTTACATTAAAGTGTAATTTCATCTTACTTCAGTGTCACTTTAAATTACATTTAAAATATAGGGTTTAATTCTGCCCCTTATATGAGCGTGCATTAACCCAACTAGGTCAAGCACCGGAAGTATATAAAGACTTTCTTATTCAGGTCGCTTGTTGACTGATTTCACTAAACAATAGAGCTTAGAAGACAACCGCACAGCACTACAGAAGAAAAACCTAAAAAAAAAAGGCAAATGACACGACAATTACAATTACAGGTGTGGGTGTGACTCCCACAAAAAGCCGTGTGAAAGCCGTTAATGTCCCGACCTGCATCTGCTGCGGCCCCACACAACCTGAGCGAGGGATGAAATGCAGAAAAAATGAATTACAAGACTACGTGGGAAGCTTTCCGCTGGCGTTTGTCCTTGATGAAATGAAAGAATGGGAAGAAATATGATGAAATGAAAGAGAATGAAACCCAATACTCTTATAATAATAATATTAAAAGGAGATAAATGAAGGATAGGCCGTTATAATACAGGGACTCATGCACAACTTACCTTCTGCTCCTCCACATGAGGGGATTTGTTGACATGGGAAAAAAAAAACATATGCTGGATTTACATCATAGAATTATCATCAGCCGCCGACCTCAATCACAGCAAATTAGCTTTAGCAGTGTGAGTAATGCCGAATACAATGCGATACATTTGGAGGGCCTACAGTTCAGCGCTGAGCCCTTTCAGTTGTTGCTTACATGTTTGGATATGTTGCAGCTTCTGGAGTCCACATTGTACCTGTAGGCAACAAATAGAGCAATAAGACTGGAACTAGTGACACTGCATTACATTATAGTTACATTGGTATTATTCTTGAAAATACCTGAACCGTTCCCTTGCTTTTTTTATACAATACACATCTCTCATACCTATTTTTACCTTGCTAATCCAAGTATCTATTACCTGAATTTGGGTGATCAGTATATTATTCACTCAGTTTAAAGGGCAGGCTAATATCATTTTTGTCTCTGTATGGAATTATTACTTTTCCCAGGAGTTCTCCGTCCCAGCCTGCTGTGCTGTGACTGGATAATAATAGCTGGTAATATTGACGGATTATCAGGCAATAGCGATGTGTTTTCCTATGCGCTTGTCTGTATGTACAATACCAGTCAACGGTTTGGACACATTTTCTCATTCAATTCCATGAGAAACTTATCTGGTACTGTATTTATTTACAATGTGAGGATTAAAATGAATTAAAGGCTAATCATTTCCTTACCTAGCTAGCTTGCTCGCTCTACCGTGCAATCACACTACATCTACTGAAAATGTGCTCCTCATGGTGTTACAGTGCTTTCCTACACTGTTGAAGTGTGTGGCTAAAGCATACATTTGTTTTACTTATATCGCTGTGCTAGTTACATAGATATTTGTTAATTTAACTGGTATATCCTTTCAGCCAGTAATCTCCTAGGCAGGCCACCTGGCAAATTTTAGGGAGAAAAAAGAAACTCGTTCTGGCAAAGAGCCCTAGGGTCAAACAAGAACAAGTATTTTTTTTCTTCCTGCGATGGCTAATTCATGACATCTCCTGTTTGGGCTCTGTGTGGCCTGTCACGTAATAGGCCACTTACCATAAAAGATCCAGGAATCAAAGAAAATACGAAAGAATCTTGAATTCTCCTGTAGTATCAGGGTTCTTTCACAAAGACCATCCATTGAAAATAGGAAATGATCCTGCAAAGCAGGTTTAAATGATGTACACAACAGCATAATGGTGCCATCACAAACAATGCTCCTGTTCCATTTACATATTTAACGTCTTTAAAAGCTTCTGCCGCACAGACCCTAGTGAGCCATTAAAACACTGATTACAGCTACCGACGCATAAATAAATGACTGTTATTGTTATTTATTATGGTTAACGGGTATAGAGACGCTTATTTAATCAGAAGGGCAATCAAGACACTTTGGTAAGGGACCTTTTTTCTTTTTACCTTGTTTCATGATTGGACCAACCAGAATTTTATCTAATTTGTCATTAGACTGTTCACTTATCCTCATTGCGAAAAATTAGCTACCTGCATAGGGAGATATTATGTAAATGCAATCAAAGGCCTTTTTTGCTGGTGACTATGAATTCATAGAACAGAAGAAATATTTCTGTTAATTAAAAACAAAATGAGTCGAGATTCAGACTGAAGGAAATACCGTCAAAGATACTTACACATCAAACCGTAGATTTTGTTTCTCTTCAAAGAAGAAATCCAGGACGAACTTCCTGACAAAATCCGGATTCCGAGTGTTATCGATTACCTCTGTTCTGCCAAACTACAAAAGTAGAGCGATCATTAGTGGTAATAACGGTGTTGATTGATGATTCAGCATGAATAAAATGATGACAATAACAAGACAATGATGTAAATAAAATGAATAAAATTCAACAGCAATCCCTCGTACCAACCGACAATTTGGGGATTTAAAATTGATGAATATGAATGAATCTGCATCTTTTGCAAGAATACAACCACACTTTGTCAAACTGTGCTTCATTGCACTAGGCGCTCACTTTCTTGTCCCCAAAGGAATCTCTCTCGGTGGACTGACAGTCTCTCCTTCCTGTCTCAGCCTTGTCAGCACCGTGTAATGACCTATGAACGTGGCACTGTCTCAATAGCTCGACTCATCTTTGCACCTAATCCAGGCCATCAACCACACACGCGAAGGGAGCGTAGTGGACCGCCGAGACAATCAGGAGTATCAAAAATCTCATCATATTTCATCTTAGTGTTTCAGTTTTTGGGGCTGGGGACCTTTGGTTTATAATCCCACTCAGATTGGTTAATACATTTTAGGACCTATGTCAAAAGTTAGAGAATTACTTTGTAAATGTGGCATGAAATGATTTTCATTGTTTGAGAGTAAGCAGAGCATATAGAAAAGCAATCATTGGTTTCAGTAAAGGCCATGTCTATTAAACGGGTTCGCTAATCCAATGTAACACACTGTGTATTTCAACTGACTCAAGTGATTGTGTGTGGTTTTGTAAACAACTCTTTCATTGTATTTAGGTTGATAAAATGGTGTTTAGACAGACCACAGTACAATAGTTAAAAATATGTATAACGGTGGTATAACGAGGTGTGTCGTACATCTTATTTATGAATTTTACAGTTTAATGTACTGACACTGTATAACATCAAGGATTTATTCTACAAAAATTGGATAGCAAGATGCAAAAAGAAAGAAAAAGTTAATGCCGTTATTCCCCTATGGGCCAGTATCACTCCACGATGAAGGATGGACCAGCTGGAGACATTATGTCGGGATAGAGCGATTTGATAATACAAATACTATTTCAACCAAATTATTTGTTTGTTTTAGTCCAAAACCCCAATTTTTTGAAGGGATCCAATTTCATTTAGAAATGACATCACGCTATGATGCTGAAATAAAGCAACATTCAAGCATAATTATCTGCTCACTACATGCTCGGCTGACGATGTTTGCTCAAAGCCCCGTCACGTGGAATGAAAAAGGTGTGAGTACTATTGGTGGGAAAGGCTAAGCGGTGGCAAAGCCTACACCGCCATATCCGTGTTGACTTGGAATTTTTAAATGGGTAAATACAGCAACTAAAAATGGAATGTCATAAGTAAAGAAGATGAGAGGGCACACGGAAATGATTGGAAGACGTAATTTTAACAAGGAAAAAGGGAAGAAATTCAAAGAAGCAGTATTGAATTGAAGGTCACCTTCAGGATCTATTAAATACGGAGGAGGAGATGGTGTATATTTGATGAGAACAAAAAAGGAAAAAACTCTTAATGATATGAATTCCGTTTGTCAAGCATCAGAAAAAGAATTAATGAAGATTAATGATTAATGATGAAGAGGTTCCTTTTTATTTATGTATTTCTTAATCATTACTAATAATTCATTGGTTTGAGTTGGGATATTACATTTTCTTCAGACAGTTATTACACTTCTGTGGGTAAGCAAAGCAGCAGACACTTGCCATTTTCTACAACAAAGTTCTTGAGAGTTTCCAGTGAGTTGTCTCTACACTTAGGCTTAATAACTCCCCCCACTACTTTCTACTCTGACTGAAAGTAGCTTATATCTTGCAAAATGTTGATTTGATTAGTATTCCTAAAAGACAAAAGATATACATGGCAGGGGGGTAGACATATATATTGGTTGCCAGATGTTAGTGAACTTACCTCTCTCCATTCTTTGGTTCCAACGGCCTGCAAATACAACACGACCACTGAAAAGAAGAAGGGGAAGTGTGAGAAAAAGTGAAGAAGATGAAGCAAATGGCCTCATGTTTTGTACATTTTAGCACACGACAGAGTCTTGGGGAAGAAAATCAATAAGACCCGCTGCATCTATTTTCATAGATGATAGAATGAGAAAGAAAAGGATCTTCATTATTTACTCTATAATGAATACTGTCACCCTAAATACAGGAGTTGAGTTGAACTTTTAGAATAATAAAAAACATATACAAAATATATGTGCTCATTCTCACTTACAATACCCGCATAACAATGCAAGAGTAATCAATCTCTCCGTTTCCTGCAGGTATTTTGTCACCACCTTCAGCCGGGACTTTCCCCGGCCGGCCACAGGTATAATTAAATAGAAGAAATTGGCTGTGTATAAGTCATTATTCCAAGAATAGCCTGGCTCTCTCATTGCTAACTGTCGTCCGAAGACAAATGAAGGAATCCGTTGTTTCAGCTCTTGTTGACTGGTTAGTAGAGGAGGTCCTCAGGTGACTTCATCATGAAAGGCAACAACACGAGAGAACTCTACATTCCTTGTTTTTCTAGCGTTATTCAACTATGCTGACTCTTAACACTAAGGACAACCTAAACTTAAGCACAGCGCTGTCACGTCATGAAAAAGGTTTACTTTCCAACACTTGTTTTACAGACTTATCCTGTCAATGGTGGTGTCTGATCACCACCCTACTTACATGGTTCACTCTTAAGGGCAGTCACAAATAACACATTTTGGAGGACCTTTTGAGTAGCATAGTTCTGCGGCTGATGTTATTGCAAAAACGTTTTTTTACAGACATCAATGGTCAAGATTAATTATATCCACTGCAGTGAACCCTAATGTCAATGTCCCCTGACATTTTATCTTGCTAAATGCATGCAATGGGTCAAAACTCTCAAATATCCAATGATACCAGATGAAATGGCACTACATTTTGATAAAGATATTCTAGTTCCCCAGAAAATGAACTTGAAAGACTCAGACCGATCAACATTTTGCTTGCTTGCTTACAACAATACCTATACCTAAATAATGGCATACCAAAAAGCCTCAACTGAAGCCTTCTGAAATAACAAACATAACAAATAAATAAATAGACAGGTGTACATTTACACAGGATAACATTGGAATCAGGGTTCCCAACCTTTTTTTATTTGAAGATCTTTTAAATCATCTACATGCACAGCAATGATGGCAAAATGAACAACAAAACAAAAACCTTCAGATGTACACTTAACTTTGTCATTAATCAAGGTTGTATACTGTAATCTGTGTGCTACATGCACAAGAAATTTTCAGAGCATTAGCCGCTCTCTGCAAAGCTACGGGTACCTGTGTGTCCATCTTCCGGATAAAAGCCTCCAAAATTGAACAAAAATGTCAGCTGACAAGAGTACACAAGATTAAAAACACAGTAGAGCGCTAAAACAACACCCTAGGCCAATGACTTTCTTCGGTGTCCACCATCATTGTTTGTCCATCCGCTACAAAAACAGCTATGTGTTCACCCGGCTTTCCATCGCTGCTGCTGCTGCTCAAGACATTTGTGGGTGTTGGGCTTGGTGGTTCCTGAAACAAAACATTGTAAACTTTAAGCTGTACTCTGTAAATTCGTAATGTTTACAGATCACAGGGTTTGATATGGTTAGTTGCATATTAAATGCTAGTTTGTTTACAATGTTAAATTAGAGATTTTTTAATAGCTCTAATAGTAATAGTCAGGGACAGGGTCCGGCATCGGTGAGCGGGTCAGAAACAGCATTGATTTAATGGCGCATGTACCAAGCTGAAGACACTAATATTGTTTGTACACCAACGTTAACTTATTCAGACATCTGGATAAGATCACTGTGACATGACGAAAAAGAGCAATATTTTCCTGTAATAACCAATGTCTTCCATCACTTACCTGAAACAGACTGTTAGTTGGGGTTACTGGTTGGAAAAGGCGTTGGTCAGTCGAGATGGACTTAATATCACACGGTCGTGACATATATATGTTTCTACATATATATAAATCCCCCATCATTCAATCACTCAAGCAGGAATAAGAACCATATCTCAAACAACCATGTAATATCCTAAAGAACCATATGAAAAACATGTAGGACCATCTAATAGATAAAATGGTTCTTAAGAAGGTGATGGTTCTTCGTAGAACCACACTGCCTTCTAAAGAACCATTTAAGAACTATTTTTTTCTGTTTAAATGCCTCGGACTTCAGATGAATGTCATCTGATTCAACAAGGGGCTGCTCAATCTTTCCTCAGATTTCACCAGGAGACTTTGGAGGTAATTAGGGACTGGTGGCCTTCATTGAGGCCGTATGCCTCGGGTCCTGCCTTCATTCTCCTCCACCACTGACTCCTATGAAATCATAATTGACATCGCTTGTCGTGGAACTTGTCACACAATGTGTATACAATAGAGGGTGAATTGTTATACAAAAAAGGCTGTGAATGAAATTCTGCCATACCTGCTGTTTAATTATTTTGAAAATTGTGGCAGTCTAAAAGCAGTCTAAATAATATAGTTGTATGAATAAGTATGTATAAGAATATTGTCTTCAAAAGTGAGTCATTGTAAAACCACAGCAGAACAGGGAACAAACTCATACAACCACACCTGCTGCACTATAACTAATAATATACTATAACTCCTACCTTTTAGTGAGTCACAAACCTGAAGCAGATGCAACAAAATGAAATGTGCCGGCAGTATCATGGAGGGAAGGAAATCTAACAAACAAGACTTGGCAATGGGAGGAAAATTATAATCCTCATTGATTTCTATAAACATTTAATTGCATTCCATCTAAATTTCTCCAATACCCATTTCTAACGGAGTGACGCATGTGGATGGAAACTGCCAGCACTCCACTGGCAAATGATGTTACATAAGAGAAGTGGGATGTTTCATATGGGACCCTGATTGAGGTTTATATAGTGGTTGGATAGAAATACAAGTGGTGCGTAGCTCCAGGAGCTGCTCACTGAACACATGGAGCGGCTGAAAGATCGCCTCAGTATTCTTTTTTCGTACTTTGCGGTGTAACGTCAGTGATATTTTTTTCAAGTAATTTTGAACTGAAATAGAATCAGTGTGATATAATATGAGCCGGAAATTATGCTTTTTGAAGAGCAAAGAGGAGAATTCAGCGAGAGGAAAACAAAAGAAGTACATCTATGGGGGGTGCGAACAGGAAAGGAAACATCTCATGAATTCCATTATTTTAATCTTACTGATTAAAGAATGAATCAGATGACTTTGTCTCTGACCGAATGACTTTTCGCCAGCCCATAATCTCAATTGTTCTGTTCAAATTGAGAGAACTTTTACTGGCAGCACAGACATTTTCCGTCTCAGGACATCAGCATGTGTGAAGTTAGACATGCCTAAAATATGTAAGAACCTCGCCCGGGCCTGGACTAAATTCGATGGAGTGAGTAAATCCAGCTGACTAACGGTGAGTCCGAGCATTGTGTATGAAAGGGGCTTTGCTTCAAAAATGAAAACATCTACCATTTAAAAGATTGACATCTATTCTGAAACACTGACTGAATGTTGCTACAGTTGATACAATTGGTACACAGCCGTAATGAGCACTTTCCAAAAAAGTTTTAATCCTCAGTGAGCTGTCACGGTTTGGGTTTGTTTCCGGTTTTATTTAGTAGTCATGCCTCTGGTGTTCCTGGGTTAACTTCACTTCCTGCCTTGTCCTGTCATCCCCCGTGATTGTCTGCAGGTTCCCAGATTGTTTCCACCTATGTCCAATCACCTGCACCTCCCCAGTGTATTTAAGCCCTGTGTGTTCTCTATCACTTGTCGCGTCATTGAATGTATGAACCCTGAATGTCTTACCTGTTCCTGGTCTGCGATTTTTCCCCTCTGGTGTTTTAGGGTTTGCGTTCTGCCTACCCCGTGCCCTCACTTTCCTCTTTCACCCCCCTGTCCCCTAACCACATTCTTACCCTAGTAACCTCTGCCCGTCCTGCCCTCTTGACCCCATTCCATCCAACGTGATCTCCAAAACCTGTTCGTAAAAATGTATACGAAAATCTTGAACATAAAAATTCGTAACAATACATACGAACTGCGGGGGTTAACCATGCCCCTTGAGTGAACAACATTTTTTGAGGGGGTTAGGGTTAGTATTTGATTCTTACTAGTTAACATTGATTTCTCGTTAAAAATGCAATCATAACACGTTTATTTTACATCGTTAGACTTCACAAAGTGTGTTTACGGGGTGCAGGTCCCCATTCACTTTGAATAGGGTGACGTCATCAGTTGCCAGTCCGTATTTATTTCGTATGTATCACTACGAATTTGTATTTTCAAGATTTTTGTATACATTTTTACGAACAGGTTTTGGAGATCAGGCTGTTCCATCACATCTTCTACAATCTATCGCACCTGACCTTCTTCCTTTCCTCACTTGTCTCATCAACAATGCTCTGTTATCTGGCGGTTTTCCCAGTTCTCTGAAGGAGTTAACCCTCTCCTGAAGAAACCTACCCTCAACCCTTCTGAAGAAAACAACTACAGACCGGTCTCTCTTCTTCCCTTTTTGTCCAAAACTCTTGAACGTGCAATCTCTAACCAACTCTCCTCCTATCTCCACCATAACAACCTCCTCGACCTCCACCAGTCAGGCTTCAAGGCAGGCCATTCCACGGAGACTGCTCTCCTTGCTGTCTCAGAGCAACTCCACACTGCTAGAGCCGCCTCTCTCCTCTGTCCTCATCCTTCCCAAAAGCTTTCAAAACTGCAGTTATACAACCTCTCCTAAAAAAGCGGAGCCTAGATGCCTCTATTATCAACAACTACAGACCAATTTCAAATCTACCTTTTATAAGTAAAATAATTGAGAAAGTTGTCCTACAACAACTTAATCACTTCCTGGCTTCAACTGGCTGCCACGACAATTTCCAGTCAGGATTTCGACCTCTTCATAGCACCGAGACGGCCCTTATTAA